ACTGTATAATGGGCACTAGGGGGCAGCAGAGGGTGGAGGTGGGGAATTGGCGGTTATACTGTATAATGGGCACTAGGGGGCAGCAGAGGGTGGAGGCAGGGAAGGGGCGGCTATACTGTATAATGGGCACTAAGGCAGCAGGGGGCGGGGGAGGGCTGTCTATAATGTAGAACGGGGGCTGTGGGTGTCCGTACCAGTCATGCTCAGTGGCACCGGCTCGCTGGGGGGTGAGCGGAGGTGGCGCCCATGGAGCTCTGTGCTGTACCCACACTGGTAGGTCCCGCTGCCGCTGGGGGTGATGTTCAGGGGGAGTCGGGGCTCCGGTGGCTCTGGAAGCAGTTCCCTGTCTCTCAGCACCCAGTGGTGCTCATCCCCTTGTTCTCTCACCTCCTTTGGCTGCCATTGTTTGGCCTCTCCCCACTACCCCCGCTGTGGTTATGGCACCATCAGACCCTGCTTGGGGCTCGGTGGAGCTCAGCTGGGGGACGGTTCACCCCAACCTCTCTGGGGTTCAGTGTGGAGGGGTCCAGGGGGATGGGGTGCAAGAGAGCCAGGGATGGGGTGCAGGGACACAGGGGGCACAGGGCAACAGGTGCAGCGATGCAGGTGTGACTGGAGTTGGGGTGTAGGGGCACAGGGAAGTTAGGGTTCAGCGGTGATGGTGTGCAGGGGGACGGGGGACAAGGTCCAGGGGCAACGGGGGAGAGGGTGAAGGGGTGCTGAGGTATGGGGTATTGGTCTCAGGGGGATGTGGTGCAGGGGAGCCAGGGGACAGGGTGCAAGGATGTACTGGATGCAGGGTAACAGGGTCCAAGAGTGATGGGGTGCAGGGGTGACGGTAGTGGAGTGTAGGGACGATGGCAGTTGGGGTATGGATAATGGGGGACAGGGCACGGGGAGCAGGGGGACATGGTGCAGAGGGACAGGGTGATGGGGCACGGGGGACAGGGTGTGGGGTGCAGGGGTGACTGGATTTGGGGTGTGGGGGCACAGGAGGATGTGGTTCAAGGGTGGTGGGAGATGGAGTGATGGGGTGTCGGGGGATGGGGATGGGATGCAGGGGTGATGGGGCACAGGGTGCAGGCATATGGTGTATGGATTGGAAGGGGAAGGGGTGCAGGGTTGACAGGAGTTGGGATGTGGTGGACGAGGGGCCATGGCACAGGGCCATGGTGCAGGGGCATGGGACGACGGGGTGCAGGGGGCTGGGGTGCAGGGGCACAGGGGGACTGGGTGCAGGGGAACAGGGTGCAGAGGGACGGAGTGCAGGGGCACAGTGGGAGGGGTGTGGGGGGAGGCTGGTGAGTCAAGAAATAGATCTTGCCCCCCAATGAGTCTGTGCCCCCAAGCTCCCTGGGGTGGCCAGCGCCAGAGCTGGGGTCACAGGGCAGCACCCGGTTAGATCACCAGTGAGAGGTGCCCCCCCGGGTGGCCCTCATTCCCCCCAGCCGTGCTGGGCCAGTCACAGAGCTGGGTGCATCCCTACGACCAGCACCACCGGCTGTGGGTCAGGCTGTGGAAGCTGATGGATTCAGACCCCAGGGTCGAGTCCCACTGCCCAGGCCCCACCCAGCCTCCTGCTGTCTGTCACGGGTCTGTCACGGGGCAGCCGGGGGAGGCTGGGGAGTAGCGGGGTCAGAGGGGGGCGGTGCAGGGTTCCCATGGCACTCTGTGGGGGCTGCGACCTCATGGCTGAGGCAGCCTGAGGGGTGGGAGGGAGAGAGATCAGAGCTGGCCGTGGGATGGGGCTATGGCAGTAGGGGGCAGGCTGGGAAGGGGCGGGTGGGCAGGTGGACAGTGCTGGGGGCTGTATTTACATCAGTCAAGGTGGGCTGGGTGGGGTGAAGGTTGGCTGATCGGGGTGTGCAGAGGAGCACAGAGGCGGCTGGTGTGGGCAGGGCAGATATCTGGCAGAGGTAACCAGGTACTGATCCCCAGATCGCACCAATCCCTCACCCCGCCGCATCTGCTGCTCTCTGTCTGCCTCCAAAGGGGCCCAGCCGGACGGTCTCCCCGCTCCGCCTCCTTCTGGATCAGCCGCGTCAGCAGCTTCTCTCCCTCCCCACCCAGTGCCACCCTCCGGAGGGACGTGCACTCACCCAGCACCAGGATGCGGACGGGGTGGCTCAGCCCGGATGGGATCTCCCGCCCCGATTCCAGGAACCAGTACCCACAGCTGTACGCCCCGGAGTGCGATGGGGCCAGGGGCGGCAGCCGGAGGGCGCGGCTGAGGTTGAGTGGGTCAGGACCAGACATCTGGGAATCTAGGTTCTGACCGTCCTTGAGAAACTGGATCCTGGACAGCGTGTGGCCCCCGGGAGCCGAGCACGTCAGGGTCACGGAGTCGCCGGAGATGTAGCCGGGATGGGACGGGGACACAGAGAGCTGGGGGGCAGCTGGGGGCACTGGGTGACATGAGGAAAAGGGACAGGGGACAAGATGAGACATGGGGAAGCCAAACCAGGCAGGGCAGCAGAGACACACATACAGGTCAGGGCTCTAACCCTCCAGTAGAGGGCGCAGGGACACACACACACACACACACAGACACACACACAGGGCAGGGCTCTTCGCCTCCAGCGGGGGAACAGGGACACACACACACAAAAATAGTAGGTTTGCTCTCTCTCTCTCTCTAGCGCGCGCACACACACACAGCAGGACTCATCTCCTGCAACGAGGGGGCGCAGGGACACAAACACACACAGCAGTAGTAGGTTGTGATCTCTCTGTCTCTCTCTCTCACACACATCAAGTAGGGTGACCAGACAACAAGTGTGAAAAGTCGGGACGGGGGTGGGGGTAATAGGCGCCTATATAAGAAAAAGTCCCCAAAATCGGGACTGTCCCTATAAAATCGGGACATCTGGTCACCCTATCCCCTCCAGCAGGGGGCAGCAGGGACACACAGCCCACAGCCCCTCCAACAGGGACCCCCCCGCGCTGTTCATGGTGATGGTCCCTATCAATCATCTGTTTCACCTCTTCCCTGCCACCCTCGGTTCCCAGCGTGTCCCCGGCCCAGGGAGTTGCTCCGCGGTGGAGGCTGGAGGCTCCTGCCCGCGGGTCCTGTGGGGAACGAGGTCTCACCCAGCACGGAGATGGCGACGGCCCCACTGCGGGGGGATGAGATCTCTCTCCCGGACTCCCTCCTCCGGTACCGACAGGAGTAGGCCCCGGCGTGCCCCGTGCCCACGCGGGCGAGCTGCAGTGTGGGGCTGCTGCTGAGCACAGGCGAGGGCAGCTCCCCTCCGTCCTTGGAGAACTGAACCGTGGCCAGCGTGGGAGCCCCAGGGATCGAGCAGGTCAGAGCCACGGCTTCTCCCACCACGTAGACCGGGTGTGCTGGGGTCGCGGTGAGCCGAGGGGCAGGCAGGGGGGCTGAAAGAGACGGTGAGGGGGAAGGAGTCCTAGGGGATTCGGGAGCACTCGGCCCACTGCGGGTCAGTGCACTTTGGGAGACATCACCTTTAGGTTACAGGGTCACGGCTAGTTGTCACCTACAGATACACCTGCCCCCATCTCACCAAGGAGAAGCCTTCAAACGGCCACAGCTGACAAGCCAACCATGGGGTACCGGCTCAGAGGAGACTTTGAGCTCGGGGGTGTCCCCTGCTGGGGAACCTGTTCTAGCCTCATCTAACAGAGCTGGGTCTCACCCAGCCAAGGCAGTTCATGCTCTGCCATCCCGAGATCCCAAATTCGGTCCCCACTGCCCGGGGCATGGCCCAGACCCAACCTCCGGAGGTGCGGGGGGTAGCTAGCATGGGACTGAGGTTTCGTCAGGACAGCCGGGCTGCGGGGGTGGTCCTGGCGGGATGTGCTAGAAATCAGTGGAATGAGAAAGGTCGGCTGGATGGGTCAGGTGAGTTTGTATCTCCAGCGCAGCTGAAATGTCACTTCCCCTGGTTTAACCCACTAGTCCCCTTAAGCCAGGGATAGAACCCAGGAGTCCTGGCTCTAAGCCCCCCGGCTCTAACCACTAGCCCCCATTCCGCTCCCAAAGCCAGGGAGAGAACCCAGGAGTTGTGGCTCCCAGCACCCACCCCCCTCTCCTCCCCTTGTCTGGGGACCAGAGAGCGAAGCCAAGCAGGTGGGGGCAGGGATGTAAATCAAGCCTCAGGAGCCCTATGGGAGGTGGGTCAAGACGGTTACACCCCATTTAACAAAAAGGGGAAACTGAGGCACAGAGTGTGCTTGCCAACTCAGTGAACCCGGGAGTCCTGTCTTCCAACCCCTTTTCATACTCCAACCCACATTAGACCTCACTCCCCTCTGAGAGCTGGGGACAGAACCCAGGAGTCCTGGTTCCCAGCCCCCACCCCAATCTGGGATAGGGTGACATCTGGTCACCCTATCCCCTCCAGCAGGGGGCAGCAGGGACACACAGCCCACAGCCCCTCCAACAGGGACCCCCCCGCGCTGTTCATGGTGATGGTCCCTATCAATCATCTGTTTCACCTCTTCCCTGCCACCCTCGGTTCCCAGCGTGTCCCCGGCCCAGGGAGTTGCTCCGTGGCGGAGGCTGGAGGCTCCTGCCCGCGGGTCCTGTGGGGAACGAGGTCTCACCCAGCACGGAGATGGCGACGGCCCCACTGCGGGGGGATGAGATCTCTCTCCCGGACTCCCTCCTCCGGTACCGACAGGAGTAGGCCCCGGCGTGCCCCGTGCCCACGCGGGCGAGCTGCAGTGTGGGGCTGCTGCTGAGCACAGGCGAGGGCAGCTCCCCTCCGTCCTTGGAGAACTGAACCGTGGCCAGCGTGGGAGCCCCAGGGATCGAGCAGGTCAGAGCCACGGCTTCTCCCACCACGTAGACTGGGTGTGCTGGGGTCGCGGTGAGCCGAGGGGCAGGCAGGGGGGCTGAAAGAGACGGTGAGGGGGAAGGAGTCCTAGGGGATTCGAGAGCACTTGGCCCACTGCGGGTCAGTGCACTTTGGGAGACATCACCTTTAGGTTACAGGGTCACGGGTAGTTGTCACCTACAGCTACACCTGCCCCCATCTCACCAAGGGCCTTCAAACGGCCACAGCTGACAAGCCAACCATGGGCTGCCGGCTCGGAGGAGGCTTTGAGCTGGGGGGTGTCCCCTGCTGGGGAACCTGTTCTAGCCTCATCTAACAGAGCTGGGTCTCACCCAGCCAAGGCGGCTCATGCTCTGCCATCCCGAGATCCCAAATTCAGTCCCCACTGCCCGGGGCATGGCCCAGACCCAACCTCCGGAGGTGTGGGCGGTAGCTAGCATGGGACTGAGGTTTCGTCAGGACAGCCGGGCTGTGGGGATGGTCCTGGTGTGATGTGCTAGAAATCAGAGGAATGAGAAAGGTCGGCTGGATGGGTCAGGTTAGTTTGTATCTCCAGCGCAGCTGAAATGTCGCGTCCCCTGGTTTAACCCACTAGTCCCCTTAAGCCAGAGATACAACCCAGGAGTCCTTGCTCTAAGTCCCCCGGCTCTAACCACTAACCCCCATTCCGCTCCCAAAGCCAGGGAGAGAACCCAGGAGTTGTGGCTCCCAGCACCTGCCCCCCTCTTCTCCCCTTGTCTGGGGACCAGAGAGCGAAGCCAAGCAGGTGGGGGCCCCTGTCCCCAGTATGTCCCAGTGACCGCTGGGGGAGAATTACCCGGTGCCCCCCCTGGCCAGGCTAGTGAGACTCACCGATCACAGCGATGGGCACGGGGGGGCTCTCCCGGGAAGGGATCTCCCGGCCGGCTCGCAGGACCCAATAAGCACAGCTGTATTCACTGGGATCTCCCAGCTCCACTGTGAGCATCACCAAGGGCCCCATGGCCCCAGCAGGCAGCTCCCTGGGGGCCTGGCCTCGATGTTTCTTGTAGAACCTGTATCCAGCCACCTCCTGGCCCCTGGGAGCCGAACACTCCAGGGTCACCCGCTCTCCCCACACATATACAGGGTGCTGGGGGCTGAGAGAGAGCACAGGGGCCGGCAGGGGCTCTGGAGCAAACGGGGAGAGGAATCAGTGACTGGGGCCCTGCCCTCAGCTCCAGCTGATCCCGTGAACACCCAACCCACCCACTTCTGGTTCCTTTTCTCCCACTGCCGGATACTTCCCTCCCCCTTGTCTCTCTCCCTGAGAAGCCAGGGGAAAGCGCCGCCCAGGAGCTCAAGGGGCAGGGATGTAATTCAAGCCTCAGGATCCCTATGGGAGGTGGGTCAAGGCGGTTACATCCCCGTTTCACAAAAGGGGAAACTGAGGCACAGAGCAAGACTGCTAATTCAGTGGAATGGTCAGGAATAGAACCCAGGAGTCCTGTCTTCTAACCCCTTTTCATGCTCCAGACCACCTTAGACCCCACTCCCATCTGAGTGCTGGGGACAGAACCCAGGCGTCCTGGCTCCCAGCCCCTGCCACAACCATCAGACCCGACTCCCCTCCCAGAGCTGGGGAG